CCATTTAGTATTATGTTATCTGTTGGTTGGTCAGAAATGGCTTTTAGCAGATTGAGGGAAAGGCCATCTCTTCCAATTTTCTGTAGGGTTTTTATCATGAGTCAAAAGCTTTTTCTGCATCTAGAAATGATCATATTGGCTTTTTACTTGGCCCTGTTGATAAAACGTATTACGTTTATTGATTTACATATGTTGAACCATCCCTGGAATGAATCCCATCTGGTTATAATGTATAATCTTGATGATTTCTGCATTCTGTTTGCTAGTATTTTATTGAAGATTTTTGCTTCCATGTTCTTTAGGGAAAATGGCTTGTAGTTCTTTGTTAGTTGAGTCCTCTGGTTTTGGTATCAGTGTAATGCTTGCTTTCAGGAATGAATTTGGGAGTATTGCATCCCTTTCAATTTCATTAAAGAGTTTGAGAAGTAATAGTATTAGATCTTCTCTAAATTTCTTGTAGAATTCAGCAGTTGATCTGTCAGAACTTAGGCTTTTCTTTTTTGGTAGGTTTTGAATTACAATTTTGATTTCAATTTTAGTGTATGTGCTGCCAAAGCGAGCACACAATTTTGATTTCAGTAATATTTAGGATTTTTATATCTTCTATATTTAACTTTGGTAATTCATATCTATTTAGGAATCTGTCCATTTTTCTGTATTTCCTATTTAAGTTCTCAAAGTAGTTATAAATCTTCTGAAATTCTGCAGGTTCTGTTGTGATTTTTACCCTGTTCATTCATAATTGCAGGGATTTCAGTTTGTTTTTTTTTATAAGATTGAAAAGAGTTTGATGATTTTATTTGATCTTTCAAGGAGCCAATTCTTTGATGTATTGATTGTATTGTTTTCTTAGCCTCCAATGTACTAATTTCTGCTCTAATCTTTATAATTTCCTCCCTCAAACAAGCTTTGGGGTTGGGCTGCTCTTTTAATTTGAGGTTCAACATTGTTTATTTGAGCTTGCTCAGTTTTCCTAATGTACTGATACAAAATTTCCTTCATAGGACCCCTTTCATTTGTATTGTCATTATCGTTTAATTGTAGAAACTATAACTTCTTTAATTTCATCCATGACCCACTGGTTGTTCAGGAGAGTGTTGTTTAATTTCCATGTGTTTATGAAATTGTTGTGGTTTCTTTTGTCAGTGATTTCCAGTGTCATTGCAGTATGGTCAAATAATGTGCATGGGATAATTTCAGTTCCTTTGTACTTAGGCATGTTCTGTGAGCTAATATGTGATGTTTTGGAGAACGTCCCCTTTGTGGCTGAGAAGAATGTGTATTCTGGTGTTATGGGGTAGATCTAAAGACATGTAATAAGACTATTTCTTCAAAAGTTTGGCTCAGTTCTAATATTTCATTGTTGATTTTTTTAATCTAATTGATCTGTTAATAAAAATGGGGTATTAAGATTCTTCAATACAATTATATTAGTGTTTATCTGATTTTTCACTTGCATTTATATTTGTTAAAAAGTTGGGAGCACAGGTGTTTGTTGTATATATGTTTATGATTGCTATTTTCCTTCCTCTTGGATTATTCCCTTTATAAAGATGTAGTGACCTTCTTCGTTTCTCTTAATCAGTCTTGTCTTCAAATTCATGTTGCCCGTTTTCTGGAGGGTTCCTGTTTCATGGAGTATTGTTTTTCAGTCTATTAATTTTTTTTTTAATTAAATGTGTTTCTTCTATGCAGCATATTGTTGGCTTTTGCTTCTTGATCCATTCTGCCAGTCTGTGTCTTTTGATTAGTGAATTGAAATCATTAACATTAATGGTTATAACTGATTGGTACTGACTTATCCTTGTTGTGTTATTTTCCTGTTACTGCCACCCCCACTTCCTCTCCTCAGTTTGCTTGCCTTGCTTGGTGGATTCCTTCTGTTACGGTTCAAGGAGTTACAGTCCTTGTTATCTCTTTTAAGAATGTCCTATAGGATAGTTCGGTGTTCGTGAATTTCCCCAGGTGTTCTTTGTCATTATAAGCATCTTATTTTTCTATCAGTTTTGAATTATAGTTTTGTAGGGTACATCAGTCTTAGTTGGAGGCTGTTTTCCTTTAGAGCTTCAAATACTTCACTCCAAACTCTCCTTGACTTGAGTGTTTGTGCTTAGAAGTCAGCTGTAATTCTGATGGTCTTTCGTTTATAGGTGATTTGTTTCTTTTCCCTATAGCTTTTAATATTCTAATTTTTTGTTGAATTTCTGGACTCTTCAATATGATAGGTTTTTTTTCATTCTGCTTTTATTATTATTTTTTAATGTATTTAGTACAGGGTCTGCAGGGTCTCACTATGTAGATTGGACTCAGTGATTCTCTTGTCTTCAGCCTCCCAAGGACTGGGATTACAGGTGTGCCCCACCACGCCCAATCTTAATCACCTGTTTTAGCGCACCCTGGGGGCTGGACTGGCACTGCATGCTGGGGATTGAACCCTGACCACTGCGCTCTGCCTAAGCAGGCACTTTGGTCTGCTGAGCTATTTGACCAGCCCTGGTTTTCTTTCTTTTTATTTTCTTTATTTATTTGCAGTACCAGGGATTGAACTCAGGACCTTGCACTTGCCAGGCAAGTACTTATTCCCCTGAGCTATCTCCCTGACCCCTGGTTTTCTTTATGTTCAATATTGGTTGCAAACAGTTAAGGATTACTGTCTTCTAGTTAACCTTATTATATTTATTTTTAGTTAAATTTACTACCTTTAAGTCTGTTTTGTAAAATGAAAGTACAACTTTTTTTTTTTCTTCATGGTGGTGGGAAGTACCCTGCATCCCCAGCCTGAAAACTTCATTTTCTGTTTTGAAGACAGGGTATTTCCCTACATAGTTCAAGTTAGCTTTGAACTCACTTTGTAGTCCAAGCTGGCTTTTGACTCCTGGCACCTTCTTGCCTCAGTGCTGGGATTATAGGTGAATGCCACCATGCCTGGCTAGCACTACAGCTGTTTGAGGGGAGGAACTAGAGATTGAACTAAGCAAATACTGTACCACTGAGCTACATCTCCAGCCCACAATTATTTTTGACTAGGCTTTACATTGTAAATTTTTCCATTTTTTCCTACTTGCAGTCATTCAGTGCCCTTATATTTAAGGTATTCCACTTGTAAGTAGCATATAATTAAATATTTTTAATCCAGCCCTGGTCCATGAACATTTAATGTAATTATACAGATCTCAATCTAACTATTATTTTGTTGTACTGTTTGTTGTATACAGTCAGTATATCAGAGTTTATACGTGCACACCTTTTTCAGTGCTGTCTATTCCTGCATTTCTATGGAGTTATTTTCCTTTAAGTAGCTTCTTTTGGAACCTCTTCAAGTGTAAGACTCTTTACAGTAAATTTTCTGTTTTTGTTTGTCAGAAAACATCTTTCACTATGTTTTTCATTTTTATACTGAATATAGATTTATAAATTGAAATTATTTTGTTCATACTTTATACCATTCAGTTGATTCTGGATCCATGGTTCTGGTGTCAGACATTGGGTGCTAGTCTTCATATTCAGGTAATAATCAGCTTTATTTGACTACAATGTCTCCCCCCC